AGTCAACCTGATCAGAGTCAGTCCGAGCATGAGACAGTAGTGGGAGAACCGGAAGTACCGGGACCAGAAATACAACCTCCGGAACATAATGAACCGGGCCCTGAAGCGGAACAACCACCTGCGGAACCCGAACAAACGTATGAGTCTCAACCAGACGCTGCACAATCCTCACAAGACTCTGACAGTCAACCTGATCAGAGTCAGTCCGAGCATGAGACAGTAGTGGGAGAACCGGAAGTACCGGGACCAGAAATACAACCTCCGGAACATAATGAACCGGGCCCTGAAGCGGAACAACCACCTGCGGAACCCGAACAAACGTATGAGTCTCAACCAGACGCTGCACAATCCTCACAAGACTCTGACAGTCAACCTGATCAGAGTCAGTCCGAGCATGAGACAGTAGTGGGAGAACCGGAAGTACCGGGACCAGAAATACAACCTCCGGAACATAATGAACCGGGCCCTGAAGCGGAACAACCACCTGCGGAACCCGAACAAACGTATGAGTCTCAACCAGACGCTGCACAATCCTCACAAGACTCTGAGAGTCAACCTGATCAGAGTCAGTCCGAGCATGAGACAATAATGGGAAAACCGGAACAACCTTTTGCGGACAACTATGGGTCACATGACTCCGGTACGTCGGAGTCAAATGTGTACCCTGATAATGATCATCGAGGCTCACCCTCAGATGTTGAGACAAATGGAAACAATGCATATTACGGAGAATCTTGGAAGCAGTCTGATTCCAATGTTAACCCCGGAGAGCCTTCTGAACATTGGGTTAGAGAAGGTATTATCCAGGTTGAAGATCCGTCGCTACTCAATCCAAACGATGTCTCTTCCGAGCAAGAACTGGTTGATTCGGAGCATCTTGGGAACACGCAATCGTGGCGTAACAGTGAATCTATCCAAACGGACGAAAGGGACGTAGTAGGATATGATCATGAATATCAATCAGCAGATAATCAATACTCGAACACACACTCTGCCGATTCGACTAGTGATCAGACATCAGAGGTGAATAGAATTAATCCTGACGAATCCTATGATACCTATCAACCGGGACGGAGTCCAGATAATCAGGATCAAACCTCTCATCGTGGAGATGAAGTTTCTAACACTGCTGAATATGGGGAAAGTGACCGAGAAAATGCCAGAACCTCATCCCAACAAGAGGAGCATGTTAATCCGGAAGCTGCGGTGATGCCATCGTCAGAAGAAACAATATCACATGACAAGGAGTATTCTACTGAAAATTCCCGACCGGATAGTCCTGAGGAGCAACAGCAAAATGAAATTGAAGGCAATGAGAAAAAGAGTACGTTTCATTAGGAACATGATATTTTGTGTTCAATCATTAGAGCAGCTATTTTTACAAAATCCCTCAACACTAGTCACATTTAGTTTATCTTGGCAGGTAATCTGTTGACTCCCACCGAATCCCAAATAATATAATTCATCTTGAAAACAGTTATAGGAACCATCATTTTATCCACAGTGTCCTTATCTATCCTCGTCAGTGATAATAATAATTCCCACAGGGATGAAAATCTGGAAAACATGTGGATACATGTTTCGTATTTAAGCTCGAGGAAATAAAACTGACACTCGGATTTTAGTAATCTGAGCATAGATCCTTTGCAAAGAAGGTGACAATCGGGATTCACGCCTGAAAGATATGTGAATCCCATTTTCGAGAGCCGTATTATGGGTTCTTGCCAAAGTCCTATACTCAAACCTCAGACAACAACCAAGCCAAATTGAGAGCGGAACTTTAGTGGAGTAAAATTAATTTTCCCTTAAATAAATGCAGGTCACTTAAATTTATTTTTATGTGTGGTATGAAGGTCAGTGAAGCATTAGGCAAGTGTTTCTTTCTTGCTGGGACATACTTGCAGTACTTGATATATTTTTGCCCTCGTCGGCGAACCTTACGGTTGCGAACCTAACCCCTTACTCCTCTTTGGACTACATAGTCAACGAACAACAATTGAGCGCCTCCCAACCGGGAGGTTTGTGGTTCGCGTCCGAACCAGGGTGAAACAGTCGATCAGTGCTCCGTGTTATCCTTCAACTAACAAACTTTAACAAAATACCTTAAATGTGAGGATTAAATGAACTATCAAAGAGGGAGATCCTCATGGTAACTATAATATACAGATCCTGTTAGTACCCATGATACTCATAGCTGCACCGTTTTTCAAATTTTCGTTTTTCACTCGGAAAACCTTTAAATATGCTAAGGTCTTTCTGACCAGATGTTTTAATTCCAAAATATTTATGTATATCTTTCCTTTCCACATTTATGTATGTATATACGATTTCTTGCATTCTTTTCTCCACAGACTCCAGTACAAGAACACGTCTACAAATATGGTTCTCCTTATTATCCATAGTAATCCTCATTGTCGATCCCGTCCGTCCGTGAACATCAATAGGTACGGATTACTTGATAAAAGAAACTGCTCACCAGGTCCTTCCATTTTGATGGGGATATTGTGAAAACAACCCACATGAATTCGCCCATTCTCAATCCCCAACTCATCTCCAACCCCTCTCCCGTCCGGCCCTCACTTCTCCTAACCCCACCCACCCAACAACGTCCTCACAACCACTCTATCACTCCTTGTCCCAGGACTACCAAAAACAGATTCCTTTGCTTTAGCTTTGCAATTCAGACGTGATGTATAATGTATGTGAAATGCTTCTCTCTGACTCAGCGTTCGTCTTGGTCAGCACTTCTCAACACTTTCGTTCAAAACCCAATTTCGCGCCAATAAACCGTAAGCAGTTCACAGTGCACAACCGATGTGTGACGATTCAGTGCCATTCAATTTTTAGCGACCTAAGCGGGCCACACACACACACAAGCACAGGGTCATTTGGGCTGATTGAAGCACACAACCATCTCGCTCCGGTCCCATTGACCGACCCGCCACTGTCTGTCTCACTCCTCCTGCTCCAATACTCCAATATTCATTTTCTTATACTTCTGTTGTTCATTCCATTACTTTTACGAGGTTTGGTTAATGAAATCCAGCTTATTATGCCCGTTCACCTTTGTCCGAGACAGGGTGAGTACATACATTTACTTTGCCCTCCCCGCTGTGCCCGCGAGCATCGTCGCTTATTCCCTTGTAGTTTTTACCTGTGGCTATTTTGATGCAGAACAGGATGATCACTAATGTCTTTTGTTTTCTTCATTCGGAGTGAAAAAAATAAGTTCTGACCGGTTATTCTTCTGTTCACTGATTTCAGTCCGGTACTTTGGAACGTCTGACCTTATGATTTACGTGAACCAAGTTCTGGATAATTATGTGCTCATTTAACATGCCTACAACCATAAAACGATCGATTAAAAGGTTTCAGTTAGATGAATTTGGAAAGTTTATCATCCAAGTTATTAGAAACTGCGTTGGCCAAAACAGGATGGAGTCCAAACAAATGGACTGTGGTGCATTTGTACTATAATTTGGTGAAACTACAGCAAATGTCGCAACATGGTTTTTCAACTTCAATGTGGTCACTTTGATTCGTAGCAGACTTCGGGAAAACTCCACGGTGAATTGCCCAACCGAACCAATGCACCTAGCCATCGTCTGTTAAGTCCATCTTGCATAACAGATTTCTTTAATTACTCTCCGGAAAAGACGTAGTTGATTCGGTGAATGAGTTGAGGTAGTGCTTTGTACTTGGACCCAGTTTCTCCGGATTAAAGTGCGTATGAACTGACGCTGCGCAGCTTGCTGTCCAGTTCCTGTAGTATAATACACGTCGTGTAGTCGTGACGTGATGAGGTTTTCATACCGTCTATTATATAGCAACTTTCCTTGCCAGAAATTGAACCCAGGCCATATCCTCCTGGTGCGCATCTCCCTTCAAGCAGAATTGAAACAGTCGCTCTGAACCTAAATATTCGCTTTTATGAGCAGTAGTATGCTTTTTTCTCACGTGAAACTCAAGTCTGAACAAATCGACTGTGTTGGTGTATACTCCGTTCCCTTGCCATCATTGTCTGTGCCCAGTGAATTGTAGAAAAATGCGCAAACTAATGCTTGCATTGAAAGGGTACACCCTGATTACAAGCCGGTAACGTTTATCGTTAACAGATTTGAACGGGGACTTTTTCAGCGTTTTATGCGCATGAAACCAAGTGTGGGATCAACCTTGTTTGTTTAGGTGATTCAACTCTACATCTCTCCACAATTTGTGCGGAATGCTTCACCACCAATTCGGTCATTCTTAAAGACGTAGTTAATGAAAACTTCATATGTAAATTGGGAACCAAGCAATTTAGAGTCTTAAACAGTATACTGTATATCATTCTGGAAGAAGATTGAAGTCTGAAGTTGAGGAAATTAGCTTGTCTTAGCCACGACGAACGAAAAAACCAAAACACAAGGCGTTGCTGACAGCTTTTCGACCCTCTTGGAGGGCTCTCCCCAAGTCGTTCATTCGGTTAATCCCACGTTGCAAGCAATTATAAGGTGGTGGGATGATGACATCGTGTGATTCAAGTATACTTCAACCTCCATTCTAACCACTCGACCAACATCAAGATGTCAGTAGGACTTGGCCTTATTACTAGAGCTCGGAAACTAGTAACCGACAGAAAGGATAATCGTCAAGAGATGAACCGAATTACTAAAGAATTAGAAGATAATGAATATCCGAAGGGGTTACTCGAAAAAATCAACCGTCGGAATATCAGTTTACTACAGTCAACTACGCAGAAAAGCGATTGTTTGTCAACTGTTGTGGTTCCAAATTCAAATTCAAATTTTTATTATGGGTGAATGACAAATCTGATGCTTATTTAATCCCATAGGGTCTGTATACACTGGGTTCGGTTGGTAGTACAAATGAATATCAAATTCTGACATTTACTCACGGGTACTGAAAAGTTAGGTGGTTCAACGCTTCATCCAGTCGTGACTTGATTGAATCGACGGTTGGTGCACCAANGTGTTCACATGACACAGCCAATGAGGATTCGGCAACCAAATCCGAATTTATATTGTCATTTCCAAGTCATTCGGAATTGTTCTTTGAAAAACTCTACCTGCCGACCTGTGAACTTTATGCGCCAACAAATTTACAACAATCATTCAAATTCAAATTTTTATCATGGGTAAATTACAAAGCTAATGTTTATTTGATCCCATAGGGTCTGTACGCACTGGGCTTTGGTTGGTAGTACAAATGAATAGCAAATTCTGCCATTCACTCACGGGTACTGAAAAGTTAGTTGGTTCAATGCTTCATTCAGTCGTGACTTGAATGTATCGACGGTTGGTGCACCAACAACTTGAGGTGGAAGAGAGTTCCAGGTGTTACAAACTCTGAGGCTGAAAGAATGAAGCCTGCAATCAAGCCAGCTCTTTTGGAGCAGAAGTTTAAACGGATATCCTCGGAGGTGACCATTCCTGGATAGCTTCACTAGATTACTACACGGGTGGTTAGGTTGATGTAGTATTTGATAAACGAGGATCATATCTCCCCGTATTCGACGGTATCCAGACGAGTAGAGTCCAAGAATTCACAATCTTTCATCGTAGGTCTTAGATTGTAACCCTTTGACTATTTTGGTTGCTGTTTTCTGCGGACGTTCAAGTGCCTTTTGGTCTCGAATCAGTCATGGATTCCAAGCCCGTATGGTATACTCGATGTGAGGTCAAATATATGCTGATAAAAAACGGAGTAATAGGTCTACTTCGAATGATCCAAAAACACGTTTTAGCAATCCAACGTGTTTTATAGCCTTTGAAGACGCTCTTGCGCAATGTGTGGAACATCCAAGATCCTCATGAACGATAACTCACAGATCATTTTCGTTTGGAGAACGCGGCAATGGCTGAGTTCCAAGTAAGTATGGCTCAGCGATACAACCTTGCGGTTTTTAACGTTCAATTCGATGTAATTAATGATGCGCCATCGGTAAACTGCATTGAGAGTTTCCTGCAAGGTTTCATAATCTTCAGAATATTTTACCGTCCATGTTTTGGCGTCATCAGCGAATATTAATGCCTTTTTTCGAAGAATATCTTGTAAGTCGTTTATGAATGCTAGGAAAAGGTACGGACCGAGTACGGATCCTTGTGGAACTCCACGGACGGCCTCAATCGGTCCCGACAGAGAACCAATAACTCTAACCGATACGGTACGTTGTCGAAGAAATTCCTCACTCCAGTCCAGTAGGAGCTCTTGGACACCGTAATTATGGAGCTTTCGCGCAGTATATGGTGGTTAACACTGTCAAAGCCTTTGGAGAAGTCTAAGTAGACTACATCTACTACCTCTCCTGCGTCGACTGATTTTGTCCGTTCATCTCG